TCATGATAAATGGTGAGAAGACTGAAGTTGTCAAAGACTTCATATTACTTGGTTCTACAATCAATACAGTCGAAGCAATAGTCAAGAAATTAGAAGACATATAGCATTGGACAAATCTGCTACAAAAGACATAAGTGATTAAGAGCAAATTTGTCTCCTTGAAGACGAAGGTGCACCTAACCCCAGCCATGGTATTTTCAATCATCTCTTATACATGAGAGAGCTGGACAATGAATAAGAAAGACAGAAGAAGATTTGATGTTTTTGAGTTTTGATATTGGTGAAGAATGGTGAAAGTACCATTGACTGCTACAAAAACTAAGAAATCTGTCCTGGAAGAAGTACAGCCAGAATTTTCCTTGGAAGTGAGAATAACCAGACTTCATCTCACCTATTTTGGTTATGTTGTCAGAAGGGACCATTCTCCAGGGAAAGATAGCATGCTTTATTTGATAAAGTGGAGGATCAACAAAGAAGGGGAAGGCCCTCAACAAGATGGATTAACAAAGTGGGTGCAGTGATGTGCTCAGGTATAGCAAGGATTGTGAGGCTTGCACAGGATGGGGCAATGTTCATTCTGTTGTACATAAGTTCACTACGAGTGGTAGATGACTTGACCACCTATAAAAGCAACAACAACATCTGACCATCGAGGTTACTCTTGATGGTGATGCATATTGCTCTGTAGATAACTATGTTTTATTCTCCCTGTCTTACGTCATCTCAGATTTCCTAACCATTACCTGGAGAAGACTGCTAACCAGAAGGCTTGTGGTTCAAATCCAACAGCCACTACTTGGAAGGAAGGTTGGGCAATCTACTTCCTTAGTGATACTGCCTCAGAAGCCCAAAGAGAGGACGCTATGAGTCGAGTGCAACTCGACAGCACATAACAACAACACCTGGAGAAGGATAACATCCTTGGGAATGTGGAGGGTCAGCAAAAAAAAGGAAGATCTTCAATGAGATGGATTGGCACAGTGGCTTCAACAAAGGGCAGGGCATAGCAAAGACTGTGAGGCTGGCACAGAATGGGGCAGTGTTTCATTCTGTTGCACATAAGGTCACTATGAGTCAGAGCTGACTGGATGGCACCTAACAAAACAACATGCAGCTTTTCCTCCTATTTTTCCAAAATCTAAATAAACACAGGGTCATAATGGTTTTCTGAACTTCTCTGGATCTGACTATAAGTTGGGCCTCCAGAGAGGCCCTAGCCATGGTAATGCAAAGACAGCAAAATTAGCATCAGAAAATGCCCAGAGGCACAAGGGCCATTATGGTGGACAGTCAGTGCATTTGGCAAAGATATGCTTAGAGATGCTTCTGGGAACATGATTACTTAAAGCCTTCAAAAACCTGTTAGTTCTTGCATTGTTGCTTAAGTTTATATTCTGCTCTTTTCACAAAATTTCCTTCTAGCATACTCATCAAATAGATTATTTTTAAGACTTAAATATATATATTATGTTTTTCAGGAATTTTGGAACTCTTTTTTTTAATTTTTTACTTTATTGATTTTTTTAAATTATGTTAAGCTGTTCATTGAGCATTAAAAAGTCACAGTTCATTTTCCTGTGGAATAAGTATCTACTTTTCTTAGCCTCTCGGATGGTTTAGTGGATAGGTGAAGTCTATTACCCTTGTGACACTGTAGAATGCTCTAAGGAGATTGGGGATTTTATAAATAGTTTTAGAGTATTGACAAAGGTATGTTTGAATGATTTGTTTGTAATTCTCTGCACTTTGCTTCAGAATTAGATGTTGCCAAAGAATTAACATGAAGTTTCTCTCAGGGAGAAATTCTTCCCGATGTAGCCTAAAGCTGCATAAATCAACCTTTCAGGTCAGTGAATTGTCTATGTTGCCTTACTTTGGGAAAAGCCCATCAGCCATATTTAGACTGAAGATATACTATTTGTCTTTTTTCTGTCTATATTATTTCTTACGGCTGTAACTTCTGTTGTACTATGTGATAATTTGATTAATATAAAAATGCTAGAATATACATCACTTTTAAGTGTACAGAAGCAGAAGTCTAGTGAAGGTCAGTATAGTTAAAGTTAATGAAGTTGTCAAGTTGGCTGTAAAATTGCTGAGTAAAAGTCTAGTACTGATTTATCTTCCTTCATTTTCCTACCAAGGAATGACCTTATTTATACACAGATATCTACAATAATGCAACATTTCCCATTTTTCAATAAACTTGCCATCCTGAAATACACCAGATTCATCTCTGTCAACTGGGGTAAGTTTAGAGCATGATACATTCTCAATCTTCTATGAGAAAAGTAACTTGTGGTAGAAATTGTCCTCCAACTATAACAGCATCTGGTCATAGTATGCTGTTGTTGTGGTTGTTATTTGCCATCGAGTCGGCCCCAACTCATAGAGGCCCCTCCTTGGGTTTCTGAGGCAGTATCACTACAGAAGTAGGATTGCCCAACCTTTCTTCCGAGGAGTAGCTGGTGGGTTTGAACTGCCAGCCTTCTGGTTAGCAGTCAAATGCCTTAGGCACTATGCTACCACAGTACGCTAGAGAACATAAAAAAGGCATGCAGAATTTATTCAGGAGTGCTAAAGAAATAATCATTGGACTATATTCTTAGTGTAAAAAAAAAAATCATTTTGCTAGATAATGTTAAGAAATTCTCTAAAATGGCCAATCTATCATCAGAGTGATGTTGTTTTTAACTAATAGGTGACCCAAATAAAAGTTTAACTTTCCTTAATTATATTCTTTGATTTTGTGGGGAGGTGGTTGAATATTTCTTGCATAAAATTGGTATATATATATATATATATATATATATAGAGAGAGAGAGAGAGAGAGAGAGAGAAATAGGGAGCTCTGGAGGCATAGTGCCTAAGGCATTTGATTGCTAACCAGAAGGCTGATGGTTCAAACCCACCAGCCACTCCGAGGAAGATTGGACAACCTACTTCCATAGTGATACTGTCTCTGAAACCCAAGGAGGGATGGCTATGAGGCAGATTTGTTTTAATGGCAGTGAGTTTGTTTTTTGAAAGCTTTGCTAGTAGCAGTGGTCATAATAGCATGCTCCCATAGAAGATGAGATTTTAAGAGCTATTTTAGAGTAAACACCCACAATGACCTAGAAAACAACAAGCATCTCGACTGACTAAATTTACATTTTGTAAAACTAAAAGAAAGTTATTTTAAAATGACTTACCAGCAGAGAATGGTCCCACTATGTTTGGGTAAATGATACCCTGTCAAAGCATGGTCCATGTCAAACATATTCCCCACCCTGCCACACTCTGCTCGTAGACATGATACCAGACAGACATTAATCAGGATATATGATTTCCAATATCCACAGAATGTGACTTTCAATCCTGAGATGTTATGTTGATCCTCTTGATTTTTGTCTTTTATTGAAAAACGGGGATTTGAAGAATTGAATCATGTCCACTTTTAAATTATTCACCAGACTATTTATATAATATGCTTCTTTAAATCAATGTTTCAGGTATATAAATATATTGGAAAAATAAACATGATATTATCTCATAAGCAAGAAATCTGCATTAATTATGAGAAGAAAAATACAGGTCAATGAATCAAAAATAAATGAAAATGCATTCCTTGCTTTTAAGTACCGAACATCATGAGCCTGGTATTTAGTTTTGCTTTATTGAAAAAAAATAAACATATGGAAGCCTTATGGCAAAATCATAGTAACAAAAATAACCTTTCTCCTGGATGAAATTAAATTTTTGAGTATCAGTGAAAAGTAGAATTAGTTTCCTCACAGTATGGCTCCTGTTCACAATGCCATCCTTGTTATCCATTTGCCATCCAAAATTTCAGAGACTCTAAGTGATACAGGTTTTGGATTTATGGTCACAGGATTGATGGTTTCTAAACAACATTCTACAAAAACCTTCTGTGTATGAAGATATTTCTGGACCTCCACCAGATTGTTACATCAGAGCCTGACTAAGGTGGAAAAGTGTGGTATAACTTCTGCAGCTCTATCTGGTGTCTTACAACTTCTCAAGGCTTGGAGAAAATAGCCAATGGCAGTGAATTCTATTTAGCAATCATTTTTATCCTATATAAGTATCTCAAGGTTAACCAGAAGATACATGCAATTTTTTCATTTTTCATTTATTCATTCATATAACAAACAGTATCACTGACCACTAAGTTTGTCTTAGGTATATTTGATAAAAACATTTTTTATGGACATTTGTTGCCTACAATGTGTATAAAAGCATGAAATATCTAGCTGATGCCAGAAAATATCCAGAAATCAGACATACTGATCAATTAAACTCTTTTACGTTTTCTTTTCCTTCACAAACTTGAGTGACTATGTACTATTAAAAGTAATTTTCAACATGTGAAATGTAAATAGGGGAAATGAATTAATTACTAATTTATTAAAATTCTTTCTTTACCTGTATACTTTTAAATATATCCAAATCTACATTGATTAAAGCAATAGCAATGTTTGCTCACATGGTAAATAAAAATACACTGTATGTATTTAAACTTCTTAAGCATATATTACCAGATAACTGAGGAAAGGAACAAGAGATCATGCTGTGAGAAAAAAATTGATCATAAAGGTAAGGAACATAAGAGACATACTTGTTTAAAAATAGACAAACTACATTCTTATAAATATATTAACCAGATTATGTATTTATTATCAAAATCATATAATTCACAGTAAAAATGTTTTCTTCATGATCAAAGTAACATTTAAAACAAAAAAGTACATAATTATTGCTATTATTTTTACTACAAAATTGTTTTAGAATAGGCTTATAAAATAAGACATAAAATAAAAGAAAAAAAGAATATTAATCTATAAATGCAGAATACTTCATACTTTTGCATGCTAATCTATTTTTTGGTATATTTTATGTTATTGTTATTACACTGCTAATTTTTCATACACCTTTATGTTTTCCTTATTTTCAGATACTCAATTCACTTGTCTATAACTTAGACCAAGCTGGTATATATGGAAAGCCAGAGAAACATCTCAGAATTCATTCTTTTGGGATTTTCTCAAGACCCAAACATACAACTCTTTTGCTTTATGTTATTCTTACTCTGTTATGTTTCCCTCTTGGTAGGAAACCTTCTGATCCTCGTTACCATTCAATGCAGCTCCCTTTTTCACCAACCAATGTACTATTTCCTCAGCCACTTATCTTCTATGGACATCTGCTACACCTCTAGTGTCACACCCAAACTCATTGGTGATCTGCTAGTGGAATCAAAATCCATCTCTTATGGTAATTGCATGCTACAAGTCTTTACCATGCATTTCTTTGGTGGTATTGAAGTCTTCATTCTCACTTCAATGGCTTTTGATCGCTATATTGCTATCTGCAAACCTCTCCACTACATGATCATCATGAAGAGATCAAAGTGTCATCTTATGGTCTTAGCTGCATGGGTTGGTGGGGCAGTCCATTCTTTTCCTCAACTGTTTATGGCAATAATGTTACCCTTTTGTGGTCCCAATGAGCTTGATCACTATTTCTGTGATACATTTTCTTTGCTAAAAGTTGCCTGCACTGATACCTACATCACTGGTGTACTTGTGGTTGCCAATTCAGGTATAATTGCCTTAGTAACGTTTATTGTCTTGGTTGTTTCTTATGCCATTATATTATTCACCTTAAGAAATCATTCAGCCGAGGGGAGGCGGAAAGCCCTGTCTACTTGTGGCTCTCACATCACTGTGGTGATATTATTGTTTGGGCCTTCAATCTTTGTCTACCTCAGACCTCCTACCACTTTCTCTGAGGACAAAATATTTGCCCTCTTTTACACCATTGTTGCTCCGATGTTCAATCCTTTAATTTATACCTTGAGAAACACTGAGATGAAAAATGCTATGAGAAAAGTTTGGTGTCAAATTTATGTTAAAAGGAAGCACACAAATAATTTCAAGACTATCAACTAATCAGTCTTATAAGATGAAATTGCTAACTGTGAAATAAAAATGTTAAAAATTTTCTCACATTCTGCTTCTGTTACTGTTGTGAAAGGATTAAATGAGGGAAATAAAATCGAGAAGATAAAATAATATGCTAATCAAATACTAATACTGAGCTACCATGTAAAATTTAGTTAAGAACTTAGTTATTGTAGGGAACTTGAAGGGTATTGGAAGAAGAGTTAACAAAAGTAAATATTTTCTAGGCTATATAAATTAAGATGTTGTTATGCTGACCAGAAGGCTTGTGGTTCAAACCCACCAGCCACTCCTTGGAAGGAAGGTTGGGCAGTCTACTTCTGTAGTGATACTGCTTTGGAAACCCAAGGAGGGGACAGTATGAGTTGGATCCAACTTGACAGCAGTGAGGTTTTTTTTTTTTTTTTTTTTTTTTTTTAGTGCTGAGCAAAGGATTATAATGGAAACACATTTAAAGTATAACTTTATTGAAATCTTTCAATTATTTGGTAATAAATAAGTTAAAATCTATAATTTATATATTAATTTTAGTTTTCTACTAGTACATTGACTTATATATACTCTAATGGCCAAATCAGTATAACAGAATCTCTTTTAAAATGGTCTGGATATCAGCCTTCCAGAGTTTTCAGTATTAAAAAATAATGGTAAACAGTAAAGGCAGAGTAAACTGAATTGTTCAGAATGTTGAAAGCATGCTCAATTCTATTCCTTATATTGGCTAGAGTTTTTATACATTTCTATAAAGTTTCTGAATTTTTGTTATTATAAAGTGTGGACTTACCTTGATTTGCCTCATATTGGTGAGAAAGGGCTAATTATTGCATCCAAAAGCCAATACCTTTTGTGCTATCTTGAGAAAAAGAATAAAATAAAAAAAAGAAAAAAGAAGAAGAAATTAGAACTTGTCTAAAAATCATACAATAAGCAGCCAAGTAACATAGCAACTAGCAAGCAAATGGTAATAAAAATAATAAACTATGGCAAAGTGGTTATAGCTGTCTTGAAGAGGACAATTCTGACAAAGAATTCCTAGAAAAAACAGAAAAAAAATAATAAAATGTTACTTTTAGAATCTTTAATATTATTAAAATTAAATATATTTTAAGAAATAGAACAAATATCTTAATAGAGAATGTGTTAGGTAACTAGATTATATGAAAAGGATGATAATGAAAACACACCAAAGATTCTAGAGTATGTAAATGCAATTCATGAGTTACAATCATTCTAGTGTTATTATACAAAGAAAGAAATAGAGTAGAAAAAAAATGAGGAAGATGAAATTAAGTGGACCTCTTATAACGGGGGGCAATTGGACATATCATTATGTTGGGAAGTTTTAACAAAGAAATAAAAATATTGCCAGATTTAAAAATCTTTTCTGAAAACAAAATCATAAGATAATATGAAAAAGTCAAAATTTGAGGAAAAGTTTTGAAAAAGTCACAACTCATTACCCATCAATTTGTCTTTTCTGGAAAAGAAGATATAAGCTTTCCATTGACATAGGTTCATAGTCTAAACGGCATATGTGTCTTTATGAAAAAAAATAATAATAAAGTTAAAATATTTCCTAATAAGAGAACAGAAGATTAAGGCAAATACTACTGCTTATGCAATACTTCATTATCAGTGATAGCAAACTCTAATCTATGGGTGAACACGTAGGTAGACAGGCTAGATCAGGTGTTGGTAGGTGAATGGGAACTTACTCACGGCCATATATAGGTTTGGCAGATGATATTACTACATACATAATTGAATGTGCTATAAAAATGTCCATATGCAGTATAAAGCTAACAGGGGCAAAGTTAGGATAACTTCTTAGCCACAACCAAGCACCTTGAGAGAGTAAGTTGCAGGGGATACGGGTTGAGGACCAAGGTCATGGGGACTTCAAACTCACTTGTTACAACTTCAAAAAAAAAAAAAAAAAAAACCTCACTGCTGTCAAGTCAATTCGACTCATAGAGACCCCTCCTTTGGTTTTCTAGAAATTCTACAGAAGTTGATTGCCCAATCTTCCTTCCAAGGAGCGAGGAGTGGCTGTTGGGTTTGAACCACTAGCCTTCTGTTTAGCAGTCAAATACCTTACGCACTATACAACCAGAGCTCCCATGTAGTACACAAAAAATATTGTTCTACATCTAACTTTGGTGAGTAGTGACTAGGGTCTTTAAAGCTTGTGAATGGAAAACTGATATACAAATATTGGTCTCTACTCATCTGGAGCAAAGAAGAGTAAAGAAAATCAGACACGTGGAAACACTAATTGGAAACAGTTAATCCAAAGGACTAATGGATCACGAGAACCACAGCCTACATGACCCTGAGACCAGAGGAATTAGATGATGCCCAGCTACCAATGTCAAACACTGGGAAAAGATCAAAATTTGAGATCCTGTGTAGAGTGGGAGAGAAAAAGTGGAAAAAAAATTAAAAACATAAGCAAACAATGCTTAATGATCAGATAGGCAGTGGTTAAACCTCTGAGACTATGACCTCAAGTTACCATTTTGGCCTAGAATTGAACTCATTCCCCTGATTTAACTCTCAGCCTAAAATAAGACAGGTCTACAAGCCCAACAATCACATAAGGGAGATGCACTCCTTAGAGCAATCAACTAAAGGAGATCAGAAGGGCAGATTTTGCATAGAGACAAAGTTAGGAATGCAAAGACATGAGGAAACAGGGAAAGAGTAAGCAGGGGGAGGAAGTGGGAGGCTGTTGTTGTGGTTGTTGTTGGGTGCTGTTGAGTTGTCTCCGCTTCATAGCTACTCAGTGCGCAGCAGAAGGAAACACCACCAGCTCCAGGATTCTTGCTATACTTGAGCTCATCACTGCAGCCACTGTGTCAATCAATCTAGTTGAGGGCCTTTCCTCCTTTTGTCAACACTCCACCTTACCAAGCGTGGTATCTTTCTTGAGGGAATGGTCCCTTCTAACAACATGACCAAAGTAAGTGAGAGGAAGTCTGGCCATTCTCACTTCCATGAAGCATTCCAGCTCCAGTTCTTCTAGGACAGATTTCTTAGTTCTTTTGGCAATCCACAACACTTTCAGCATTCTTCACCAACACCACAACTCAAAAGCATCAACCCTTCTTCAATCTTTCTTATTCATTGTCCAGCTCTCACATGCACATGTTGTTGTTGTTTTTGTTGTTAAGTACCTTCAAGTCTGACCAGACTCATAGCGACCCCTCCTTGGATTTCCACAAGGCAATATCACTACGGAAGTAGATTGTCCCATCTTCCTTCCGAGGAGTGGCTGGTGGGTTTGAACCGCCAGCCTTCTGGTTAGCAGTCAAGTGCCTTAGGCACTATGCTACCAGAGCTCACATGCACATGAGGAGATTGAAAATACCATGGCTTGTGTCATGCACACCTTAGTCCTTGAGGAGACATCTTTGCTCTTCAGCACTTGAATGAGATCCTTTGCAACCCATTTGCCCAGTGTTGTACATTGTCTGAAATCCTGACCTTTCCTTCCATTGACATCGATTGTAGAACCAAGCAATGTGAAGTCTTTGACAACTTCAATCTTTTCTCCTTTTATCATGATGCTGTTTATTGGTCTCATTGTCAGGATTTTTGTTTTCTTAACATTGAGGTGCAATTCATACTGCAGACTGTAGTCTTCAATCTTCATCAGTAAATGTTTCAAGTCATCCTCACTTTAAGCGAGCAGAGTTGTGTCATCTGCATAACACAAGTTGTTAATGATTCTTCCTCTAATCCTGATGCTCATTCTTCTTCATACAGTCCAGATTCTTGGATTATTTGCTCAGCATACAGATTGAATAAGTATGGTGAAAGGATACCACCTTGGCACACTCCCTTCTTGATTTTACACCATGCAGTGTCTCCTTGCTCTGTTTCAACAATAGCCTACTGATCTATGTACAGCTTCCACAAGAGTAGAATTAAGTGTTCTGGAATTCCCATTCTTCTCAATGTTACCCATAATTTTTTATGATCCACACAGTCAAATAATTTTCATAGTCAATAAAACACAAGTAAACATCTTTCTGGTATTCTTTGCATTAAGCCAAGATCCATCTGACATCAGCAATGATATCCCTTGTTTAGCTTCTTCTTCTGAATCCAGCTTGCATTTCTGGAAGTTCTCTGTCAGTATACTGCTGCAACAGTTTTTGAATTATCTTCAGTAAGATTTTACTTGCATGTGATATTAATGATATTGTTTGACAGTTTCAACATACTGTGGAATCACCTCTTTGGAATGAATACAAATATGGATCTCTTCCAGTCAATTGGCCAGTGAGCTATCTTCCAAATTTCTTGGCATAACCAAATGAGTGCCTCCAATGGGGCATCCATTTGTTGACACTTGTCAATGGGTATTTTGTCAATTCCTGGAGGCTTGCTCTTGGCCAATTCCATCAGTCCAGCTTCAACTTCTTCCTTCAAAACCATTGGATCTTGGACATATACAACCTCCTGAAATGGATGAAAATAGACCAGTATTTTTTGGTAGAGTGACTCTGTGTATTCCTTCCATCTTCTTCTGATGTTTCCTGCACTTTTTGATATTTTCTCCATATAATAGTTTAATATACATTACACAAGCAACCTAAGAAGTAGTACTTTTAATTACACTAAACTGTACTCAATTCTGTTATTCACAAATGGTTACTAAATGATATGCCATTTTAGTCTCCATTAAACCCCACAAACCCATTTTCAGAAATCCTGCTTGTTCTCCTTAAGTGTCTTTCTTATTTGTCTTCTATTGTAAATCACCTAACATCTTCCTCATTTCTTAGCCCAACGCCACCTACAATAATAAGGGCCACTTGATTTATTATTATATTACATATTATTACATAATGTGGAAATTACTAAATAATATAATTAATATCACACTCAAGCAAAATCTTTCAAAAACAGTTGCAGTACTATATTAACAGAGAACTACCAGAAATGTAAGCTGGATTCAGAGAAGGATGTGGAATTAGGGA